CTAAATCAGAATTTTGATCAAAGGTGTTTCCGACAAGGATAAGGAAGGATTTCTCCACAAGTATTTTTTGGATGATGGCATTGCATTGATGTACATCTGAAAAATTGATGAAGAGAATGATGAATTGCAACTTTATTTTGCTGTGCTCTTCTCATTGAGAAGTTTGGTGACTGTTGAAGATGTTGCCATTCAATCTGGTCAAGAAAGATCACATAAGACTTGAATATTGTTCCTAGACAGGCTGCCTTCGTCATATGGCATAGAACACTCAAAATCACATAGAATTATCTGTAGAAAATGTTGGCAAAACCTGTTGAGATGGTAAATGGGTTAGAGATAGTTGTTTACAATAGATTAGATGCTAGAAAGGCACTGAATTTATAAAGATATCAATTTCCAAAGCCTCTTTTACTTTCTACAATCTCTCAATGTTTAAAATTTAAAATTATTTATAAATTTGAACATCCCCTTTTAGGGTTTGGATATCATTTAAGATAAACCAATACACATGATTGTTAAAAAGTAATATATTTATTCAAGGGTTATAGGCTCAAACAAGTTTTATAGGGACCTATTTTGTTAAAAGAGAACTGATAATACATTTCATAACAAAGTAATACTTTCATGATCAAAAATTTTAACGATTGCTTCACATAAAATTACGAAAGTCACTTAAACACATTGAATCATGATCTCAGTATGTAAAATCTTATCTTCAAAGATATTAAATAATTCAAAATCACTTTTCAATAATTAGAAAATCTTGAGTGCTAATACTAGAAATTTGACTTCAGTCAATTAAATTCTATATCAGGATCATTGAAAAATTAATGATTTAGCATCATGAGTATTTGGTAGATAAAGTAAGATTTCATACTGATATCTTACTTCAAGAATTATTTTTCGTTGTAATGTTGCAATTATTACTTTTTCATAGTGTCAATTTATATAAATGTTTATCATTCCTGAAGTAATATGAAAGCAATAATTTCACAGAGGAAAATCACCAAATTCTGGAAGTTAACATTGTAGGTTAAAAAATATTTTTTTTGAATTCCTATTTGGATATTTACACCATTACTTTGGTTTATAATATATGAAGCATAATAAGCAGAAAGCATGATTATATCCATTCATTGGACAAAAGTATAAGGGCAAGTCTTAAATATAAACTGTTTTGCTTTCGAAGTTTCAAATCATTCAATAGACTGGTTTCAGGAGAATTTATATATATATATATATATTTAATTAATTTTAATATTTTATTCATATAATTTGATATTTAAATTTCTATAACAATGTACTATTTTTTCAGCCATTTGAACCATGGCACTAAAATTTCAAAAGTCAAATTGAAATAGATAATTATTTAAGCCCATTTCTCTCTACTTCTATCTTGGGAAAATTCCAATTGCAAACAAAGCATCCGTCATATATCTCAATCAATTGATAGAAAAATAGTGTTTTGAAATTTAATGAAATCATTTAGTATAGGATTAGACGATTACATGATAGCACAGAGTTAAGGCCTTGTCATGTGATCATATTATCTATCTCTAAGAACTGAATATAACGTAGTGTATGTAATCTATTTAAAGTCGTAGTTCAGAGAACAATTTTCCTTGCCAGAGGATTTACAATAAATATTTGGAACAGATCATTTTCTTAGTTTATCAAAACGCAATGCAGCAGGGCACAACACTGCACAACCTATAATATGTAGCCATAAAAATGATCAGTTGAAAAAGGGAGATAATAATACTCTACTTCGGCAAGCAATGGCTGCATAGGTTAGTATTTTACAGTTCAGCTATGGTTAAAGCCTTTCTTTTTTTAATGAATATCATAGTTAAAAGATTATTGAGGACACATGTCTCTTGCCTTATCAAATATTGTCCTTCCTATCATAAAATGACGTAGACAAGAATGGAGACCCCAAAAAAATTCCTTTATGAGTTTAGAACCAAGTGAAATCGGATTTTAAACATGCTAACACCTCTTGAGTGATGGACAAAAGAAAGATGAAGAAAAATATAGGGAAAAGTAGATCCGAAGGGTCGACGCATCAATGACATCTACTGGATCATCCATTGGGAAAATGACGGATCACATCCCCGGCTCGGAATGTGTGAATATCATCCTTAAGGCTCTTGAAAATATCCCAAGTATCGGAAGCTCCGTTTAGAAGGTTGATGACGCTGAGGATTTGCTTCATAGATTGTTCCGTTGGCTAGGAAACGACGTGCGGTTACTTCGCTGCGGTTTAATGCACGTCCTTCTCTCACTGGTCCCACCAACCTTTTCCATAGGGGGCCCGAGGGTTGCGTTACTGCGCTGCGGTTTCATGCACAAGAAGCCTCGAAAATGGAGGAACTAGCTGTTGAGAGGTCTTAGCCAGAGGCCATGCCTACCGTCTTTCCTCGGCCGGGCTACTGTCCACCTTTCAACCGACAGCCCTCGGCCTCAGCCGAAGGGCTGCCTCCACGAAGATCCCTAGGCCAGCTCATCATCGCCGACAGCTATCCCCGGCGGTCCTAGGAGTCTCCAATGAGACCTTACAGGCCGGCCGAGTCCTAGTGAAACAGAGTAACTGGAACTGCGTTTCTTGATCGATATATCGATTGATCGTTTAAGAGAGATTGAGAGAAAGAGCGCTGTCCTGTGCACCGCATCAAAGAGCCAAACTTTATTAGTTTAAACTACTGTTGGGGAGGAGAAAAGGCTTAGCTGCAGCCATCGACAGTACTGTTGATGGCCACGGGGAGATGGCCTGCGTGAACCAGGAGGGTACTGGAGACCTCAAAATTTCTATGTAGACCCTTCCTCGGGATGAACATTCACAGAATAATCTGTCGGCGGGTCGGTACCCTCTTCCGGGAATTGCCCATCATGTCGATAGGTTAATGCCAACTTTATTGGAGGAAGGCTAATCAATTCTCCCAGCTGCTGTCCTTCATAATTGCGCCGTCAAAGGCGACTGTAGACGAATGGACTTTCATTCTGAGAAGGCCAACTTTCTTTGTGAATTCAGCTCCAGTTAGAACAAGGTGATTTACGATGTCAGCTCTCAACTCGAAAGTAAAATGCCAACTAGTCGTCTGCCAAAAGATATCATCACATTGAAAAGATAAACATCAAACTTTGACCAAAAGTTATAAATAAGTTTCTTTGAGTTGAACTCCTGTTTAGGATGCAAGATGCAACCCATCAATATTATTTTTAGACTCAGTTCAGTAATAACACCTTGATTATGTAATCTGGTGTAACGCGTCATATATATATCCATTATGATATCACATCTCAAATGCCTGATGCCATCATAGGTTGTGACAGTTAATTAATTTATTGGCTATTTGGTACAGGGGCTCTTCTATTTTTCGAAACCTATAAAAATAATGATTGTTCACATTGGCTTGTTAGGCCTTACAAATATTTCGTCAAACTTATAATGGGGCACTTGTTCCTTCTTTCAGCATTGTCAATGATTGTTCATCCGAGTATCATTGTTTCCATTATTACCAAGTACATATGCATATAATCATCTCAAAGTAATTATATATTTCCAATTTTAAAAATAATTACTGATTATAGCGATGATTCTCCTGAATGATCTTGAAATATTCAAAAGTATTTTGGAATCCATTCTACATTTAATATTACATCATCACCAAGCCAAGTTTTTTCTTGAACAAATCTACATTCAATTAACACTAATACTTAAATAAATGTTTTTCAATACTTTAGCTGCAATAATAAATGATTGAGAGTAGATTAAGAGAAGAGGGTGTTCCGAAAGATATCAACTGTACAAGCCTGGTCAATGAGCTATAAGATATACTATAGCAACATTATTTCAGCTACATGTTGTGCCCACAATATAGAAATATGACAGTAATAGGCGGCCTGGAAATTGAGAATAACATATATAGGAGCTTGTTGAATAATCAATAAATTGAATATCTCACTGTTAGTTAAAGCAAGTATATTAAACGAATTAGCATCACATTGGGCACATATTTAACGGATCAGGTGAATTGGTAATTTCTAAGTAAAACCTTGAACAAACCGATAAGATAAAGAGGTAAGTTCCATATCCACAAAAAATATATATTAAATGTGTAACACGTAACTTATTTCCAATTTCCTTGTGAATTAATTTTATTTTAGTTTATTGCACACCGTAGTATTAATTCAATAGCGAACCATTTATTAGTTTTCATGATATCTTAAGATTATCAACCTGTTAACATTGATGAGATTAACGCACACATCTACTTGACATTTCAAGTGAATTTAAATATCTAAAGTAATTAAAACTGCTATTTGATACACATCCTCATGACTGCAAAAATTATGTTGCGATGAAAGTTTCGACACTACAGGGTCAACAGCTCCATCATTGCAGGTTTTGGCGATAAATAAGAGGAGAAAGAGAGAAACATAAGGGAAGAAGGAACTGATATGCTACTTTACAGGTTCGAATGCACTTGCCTCTCCAAGACAGATGATTCAAGGGAAAACCCTATGACATTTGGCTAAAATTTCCTCAAGGGTAATATGGACCTAGTACCTTGCAATCGGTCACGATTAGACCGAAATTGTAGTGACTGATTTTGTTAAAAAGCTTCGGGTATGTTTGTGGCTAGAGAAATCTGTGCAGGGAAAGCACAGGAGAACATACCAAGGCTAGGCCCGCTGTTCTTGAATCATGCCAGCTCTCTCTTCTCTCTCTCCTCTCACTCCTCTCTCTCTCCCCTTTTCTCCCCTTTTTATCCTCTCTCTCTCTCTTCTCTCTCTTCTCTCTCTCGCTCTCTCTCTCTCTCTCTCAGTCATTCTCTATCGCTATCCATTGTGCATGACCCTACATTGCATATCTTTATTTCCTCTTAAAGTGTTGGAGAGAAGTTGAGTTTCTCTCACCCAAATTCCCTCTCTTTCTCTCGTTCTATCCTATTGTGGATCTTCTTCTCTCGTCCAATTTATGCGTGGGTGTTGCCCCAATGAGAAGAAAAGATGATTCCCCTTGTTCTTCTATTGACAGCAGCAGTCATCCTTACCTCGCATCCATAACTCCCATCTCACAACGGAAGAAGGATCTCAGCACAGAGTTGATGTTGGGACTCGGCATGTCCCCAGGCTCTCCAAATCAGCAGCAGTACTGCCATTTCAGTTCCAGGTAATACAACGGTAGACATTTCGGAATTAGAAACTCAGTCTTGTTCGGTGAAATGTTAACTTGAAAGGTTTTCTTACTTTTTCTCCTTCATTCGCGCTTTTTCTGTGGACATCAGAGATTACGATTCAAGATGGGTGCCGAGCAATCCTAACCTTCAGCAACGGGCTACCTTCTTTGTCAAGGTGTACATGGAGGGAAGCCTCATAGGCAGGAAATTAGATCTCTTTGCACAAAACGGTTATAAGGACCTTATTATAACCGTCAAAGGACTGTTTGCGACCACCATTAAATGTGAGAAAAGCTTCATGTCCCTCGGTCGTGCAGCCTGAGTCGCCATCTCAATCGATATATTTATGCGGTAAGTACGTATGCATGCATCAACTAACTTCTCCGTTCGATTTCATTGCCTTGATCACTTAATGAAGGTCTAGATCCTGATCAAGTATCTACCAAGAAAACCCTTGTGCTAACGTATCAAGATAAAGAAGGGGATTGGATGCTGGTTGGAGATGCCCCCTGGGAGTAAGATATCTCTGTCTTCCTGCATATAAATCGGCATATATCTGATTATACGTTATAATCATACGCATACTTATTTGCTGCCCTTCTGATTATCAATGTTTTGGCCAGCATGTTCTTGTCATCTGTGATGAGGTTGAAGATCAGGAGGGCCGACAGACTCTAGGTTGTCTTCTTTTCCGAAATTCTCGTCGTCTCTCTCTCTCTCTCTCGTCTATGTTGCAACTTTTATCCTAGGGAGCAAGAAGCATATGATTGACAATAAGCTGAGGAATGCATCGAACTTCTGATCGTCCCCCTTCCCATTTTAATCTTCAAATAATAATGTATTGAATAGATGGACGTATACCTAGAAAATGCGAGCTTTCTTAATTCATTTCTATATCATTTTCTCTATTAGTAACTAGATTATTTAACGCCTAGTAACCATGATTGTCCTCTCATACACATCGAAAATGATTAAATAGTAAAAAATCATTATAGTCGGCATCACACTTCTGGTTGTTCCCGTTGCCCTTCGAAATCTCTATGGCCGATCACGGCGAGTCGGGATGGCAAGGAGAAATAGTAAGCCTCAGAAACCCTTTCGAGGTGAGGGTGAACCTTGTCTTTTCCTCTCTTATTTCCAACTCCTGACATTCTTCATCTCCTTGCCTCCCAATATACACAGGGGTAGGAAGGAAGGAAGGAAGGAAGAAAGGAAGGAAGAGAGAGGAGAGAGAGAGAGACAGTGGTAGGAAAAAAGGAAGAGAGAGCGAGAGAGAGAGAGAGAGAGAGGGAGAGAGGAGAGAGAGAGAGAGGGAGAGAGGAGAGAGAGAGCGAGAGAGGAGAGAGAGAGAGGGAGAGAGGAGAGAGAGAGAGGGACAAGAGAGAGAAAGAGGGAGAGAGGAGAGAGGAGAGAGAGAGGGAGAGAGGAGAGAGGAGAGAGAGAGAGAGAGAGAGAGAGAGAGAGAGAGAGAGGAGAGAGGAGAGAGAGGAGAGAGGAAGAAAGAGAAGGGGGAGAGAGAGAGTTGTAGGAAGAAGAGAGAACGAGGGGAGAGAGAGAGAGAGAGAGTTGTAGGAAGAAGAGAGAACGAGGGGGAGAGAGAGAGAGAGAGTTGTAGGAAGAAGAGAGAACGAGGGGGAGAGAGAGAGAGAGAGAGTTGTAGGAAGAAGAGAGAACGAGGGGGAGAGAGAGAGTTGTAGGAAGAAGAGAGAACGAGAGAGAGAGAGAGTGGTAGGAAGAAGAGAGAACGAGAGAGAGAGAGAGAGAGAGAGTGGTAGGAAGAAGAGAGAACGAGAGAGAGAGAGAGGGAGAGAGGGGGAAGACTGTAGTACCAGTTCTATCCCACAATTCAATTAGGCGCTGACGGTGTGAATGGGCTGAGGAGGGCCAGTTCAATGCTAACTTGGAGGTACGAAAACTGGACCAGCTCAAGCAGAAACAGAGGGTACAGGTTTCATTAAGAAGCCTCCAGCATTCATTGTCTGGAAGGAATTTCCTACAGAGCCATTTCGAAGCACTCAAATGCAGGCGTAACCTAATGACAAGAGAATCGTGTTTCGGCCCCATCTCTTTGCTTATTGTGCTACAGGAGTGGAATTGGGGACGGCTAGAATATGAAATGATAGAGGTACATTAGACAGATTGAGGAATTTCAAATGATTATTTCTGCTTAAAATTAGTAATGTCGATTTATTCCTAAAATTGAACTGCGAGGATTCAGTACTCTTTCATGCTTTTCATGTTTGTGTGTGTGTTTTGGGGGGTAAGAGGTTGATCTTAACAGTGACAAATCTTGGTTGATAAGAAGCACTACTTGTGAAGAGGTATTTATGAGATAAATTTTTTGTATGGATTAACTTAAATGTATTGAGGCACAGCCTACAAAATGTCATAGTTGGAGACGAAGGGCAGCTAATAATCAAAATCGAAGATTGGAAATGCTTGAAGTGATGGAGGTAATGTAATTGTAGAGGATTGGACCCAAGTTTACTTCCTGGGCAGACCCTCAGCCGCAGAGGGGAGAATGTCGCTCATCCTTCACTACACTTGCGAAAGTCGGGGTCACCCCCTATTTGTAATCTGGGTTTAGGACGCCATCTAGAGACAAAAGACCTAATTGTCCATAATTCTCTGAACATTTATAATATTGTTGATCTGGGATGCCACACATCTCAACTTTAATTAAGATTCTTGTCTGACTAGTGGATGAACTAGTTTAATTCTACTCCTAGCACTTACATGTCAGAGTGGTCAATAGAGAGATAAGAACCACATTAAGGGTTAGCTTTAGACGACTGAGTGGTTCGCTTTAGTCTCAATCTCTCTGCCTATTTGGCCACGGTTACCTTCTCTCTCTAGCTCGTCTCCAGTGCTTGTCGACTCTCCTATTGAACCATCAGCCATTGTGCGTCTCTCTTTTATCAGTTGGCTCTTCCCTTTCGTTCTCCTCTTCTTCGTTTTGCATTTTTTACAACTTTTCTCTCCACTTCTCACTTCCTCCTATATGATTTTTTTTCCTTCTCCACCGCTACTCCTGTCAGGTCCTGCCTCCTTTCCAGCCCCTCCAACACTGCTTCGCCGGTTAACCCTCCATGGATCCATCCTCATGCCCACCGTGCCCCTACCCTTCGTGAATCACTCAGTATTGACAACACTCTGATTGGCGTATGGGAAGCGACCCATCGAGGGTCGAAGCGCTGAGGCCTGCTGAAAAAGCATCACTCACGTAACACATTTGATTCCGCTCCACCTCATTCGTCAAATACGGCTCCTAGTTTTTCTTCAACAGAGAGTTAGAAACCAAATTATTGAAACTTTTGCCCTCCGGTGGTGAACACCGGTCAGCATATTGATTTATTCTTTCATTAATTCCCATGATCACGATGTTCATTATCGGTTTTAATCTGTCAAATATGTTATTTTCCTTCAAATAAATGCACTTGATCCAAATTTTACCAAATCACTACAAACTCCATGTGCAAGCTGAGACTGATGCTTGCTCTTATGATTTTATTTTGTGTATGCATTTTTTATGCAGTCGATCTCTGTTATTGACTGTATTCTTTTCTACGTTTAGTAGAATTTTATCAATATTTCGCTTCATGGTAGGATTACGACTTAAAAGGATAAAATGAAAGAGAGAATTTTACCTAACAAAATTTCTCATATGTTCTCGGACAAGTATCTAGGATGAACAATTACCCATTCATTGGTTCATGTTAATCAACAAAACAGTTAATACGTAATGGGGATACAAGGCTGAACCCCTGTTATGGGATCCCTATGGTTCATCACCTCTATTGGAGGGCTGTCATAATGAGCTAGTAAGTTGGAAAACAAGATCTGTTGATTTTTGTTTCTTCTTGCTATTTCTCATAATTTTAAAAACATTTCATGATGTTTTCCTTGAGTAATCAAACCTCTTAGTCTTGTTATAGCCTAATACTTATCAATTTCATTGTTTTGTTGGATTTTTACTTCTTTTGGGTGAACACAAGTTAAACAATGTAAAGTTCGCTTAAGAATCAATCAAAGGAAAATATTCAGACTAGGACTGATAATAGCATTGTCGCTTTAAGACAGTCTTGAGAAAGGAATCTTTGTCCTACCATTTTCACATCGATGTAGTCCCCCCATCTACCAATCTTTCCTATCCTAAACATTATGCCTTATCTAGCTGTCATCTTCTTGCCTGATTTTACCATCTACAGATCATTATATTTTCTCGCATGCTGTAACATTTGGCAGTGCACTAGTCACAAGTCTATTCATTGAAGCACCTCGCCTGTGCACCATCCATGCCTGCCTGTGGCCCATTTTTTCATCCATACAACTTAATAGAATTAGATCATGATGCCCTTGCAGGGGTTAATACAGGTATGAAGACGCTTACCTCGAGATCAAAATTTTCAAGGACACATGTTCAACATCAGTAGGATGAAGTACAAGCCAATCCCAATTGTCTTTGGTATAAGCTGTATTTAACCTTTGCGTAAACTGTCTTTTCCCAATGTATTACAGTTGAATTTCACATGAGCTAAGTTTTACAATTTTTTTTCATATTAGGTTAGCTAGATTACCTCTAAAACTCCTCTCCTCCCCATTCATAAATTTAACCCGCCTAAATTCTTAATAACGAATAAAATATGCTTCCAACTACTCAATCTATTCAATGAATATGTGTGATATTTATTGGATTTGTCATCTAATTTTGTGTAGGTTTCTTGATAAATTATAAGTGACATGACATGATGCTCCAATAATCACCAATTCGAAACATCATTATTAACTGATTCGTTAATCCATGGGTCTAAGAAGGAATAAGGTGTATCTCTGAACTTATATTCCACGAAATTTTATTTAGATTTAGGGTGGATAGTATTGTATTATCCATGTATTTGCGATTTCATCTGACGAATCCTCTGATAACACCTTATTATAGTTATACATATTCTAAAAACTACCGAATCCAAGTTTTTCATGAAATATTTGATTAGAAAACATACTGTTCGGTCGGCAACGTCCGTCGTTCTACTCCTACATCTAACATTGTTCCGGGGCTTACCTGGCAACCAGACTGGCCCAATAGTTCAAAACGATCTTGCCTCTCTCGAGCCAAACAGTCCATAATCCCGGAGTTGTACGTCCAATATCACGCAGGAGGTAGAATACAACCTTCTCGGGAAAGCCATGGATACGACATAAGGGATCAACGTCTTCTAAGATTAAACCTTCTGTCTTCGGCCCCGACCAGTTGACCCATGGGGCCCAGCATGTCCTGGTCTTCTTGACGAAGATTCTCACGATGAAGAAAGCATGCCTACCCTTCCTGCGGGGTGTATTCCACCCACGATCAGGTCCTTGACTCCGCTGGCCATGGGATATTTGACTTCCCCATAGAATTTCCTCTTTTTATCCCAGCCAGCAGGAGTATTCGACTGGTGAATATTGTTTCCTGCAAAAAGTTCCCTGAAAATGTAGGAGAGGCTGTTCATGACCAGTGAGTTCTGCAGGATAAGATGTCTGAATGAAATATCTCTGATTTAATCCGGTCCTACCTTTCAGACCCACATGAGATATTTTTCGAAGCCCATAGCTTCGCCTTATTATTCCTCATCTATTATCGTATATTTCACAGGTGTTCATTTTGAAAATATAGGCGTTCAGATGCCCTCATATCC